AGAAAGAAGCTGAAACTAGAAAGAAGTGGAACAAGCTGAAATTAACTTAAAAATGTGGAATTTGCTGAAATGGCTAAACTTACCACATAAACAGCTAAATAGTAGCTGAAAAAAAAGAAAAAACTGAAACTAACAAGAAATAAGCTGAAAGAAGCATAACACACTTGGGATTTGCTGAAAAGGTTTTTAAATTTGCACAATGGAGCTGAAAGAAGCTGAAGCAGAACAAAATGTGAAAGGAGCAGTAAAAGGTTGTAAACAGATAGGAAGATCTGAAGGATGTAAAATGAGTTCATGAGGGAAAAAATGGCAGAAAAGTCTAAATAATTCAAAAAGCTAAAGTTGCACCAATACCAAAAGCCATAGCAGGATTGTCCTGAAAGAGCTGAACGTTTTGATATGATTTGTTGAAATAGCCACACAAAGGACAGCACCTCCCACGAGGCTGCAGCCTCAGACGCCTCCCTCTCCCCATGTCTGTTTGTTTGTGTTTTACTTGGACGGGCTGTACTGAAATGTAATTTTGTTGTGCTTCGGTGCAATGACAATAAAGCTGATTCTAATTCTGATTCTGAAATTGCAGAACGAGAATGTTGCAGAAAAATGTACGGCCGAAAAGAGGATCACAATAGAGTGAATGCTTCATAAACATTCACACTATAAAGTAAATCTCAAGAAGACATTTGTGAAGACTGACTTTAGACTGTGTCAGCTCCATTTTGTGGTCCTTAAACTGGCTTTTCAATATTCTGTGACTGGGTTTATAAGAAAACTGTTTCCTTTTGCTCTCTTTTATTAAAATACTCGGAGCTGGAAGTTTCAAAGCATTAAAGCGAGACATTTATCTCCTCCTCAATGTCAAACATTTCTGGAAGTATTTGTCCAACCAGAGCACAGACACTCCTCATCCTGTTCCAGCTGAAAATGTGACTATGAGTAAACACAGGTTTAGAGAAATAATCCCAGTTTGATGCCATGGCAGCGTCTCCACACATCTGCACAACAATTGTCAGTAAAATATCAGGTGTTTGGATACCAGAGGTGATTCAGTTTTGATTTTATCACATCAGCTACTGCTGCAGCTCAACTTAAAATGTGCTATTTTCTTAAAAAAAGTTTATTTTTATATTTCCATTTATCTAAAATAATTAAAGGAAGTCTTATCTTTTGAATACAATGAACTGTTTCATCAGTTTAGATCAAAACTGAAGGTAAAATTGATTTGCTTGGTCTATTGCGCCCCCTGCTGGTCATCACTGAAACAAGAGAACTGCAAACTAAAGATTTTACATGAAAAGATGGAATCAAACAAGTGTCAATAATTTATACATTTCTGATGCTCAGTTTGATCAATATGAATTTCTTTTTTGACTTGAGCAGATGTTTCAAAATTTAAATAGTCCAACACGTTTTTATCCTGATTTTCAAAATAATTATTTAGATATTAATGCAGACAGTGGTTTAAGAGCTGCACAAATAAATAAACACATAAAATATTAAGTTGAAGATTAAAAAATGTTCACAACCCAAAGGTTTGAGGTTTGTTTTCAAAAAGGGTAAAAATGCAAAATAAAATATTATTTTTTTTAATTAAATTTTATTTTTTAGGAAATATGCAATTTAGAGGAACAATGTTAGAATAACTGCACAAGTAAATAATTTATTTATATTGTCACAGAGTGATACAATGAGACATCACCAGACTTTTTAACTAACTCTTTTTTTAAATAAATTCCTTAAGTTATTTAAATATTTATACTATATTAATATATTATTATTAATTCTTATTATTATATATTTATACTTATATA